GGATGCTGCAAGACGTAGCAGAATTCAGCAGCGGTATAACTTTGCAACCCAGAATGGGACCCAGAACACGAATGTATTCATGGTCCGGTTTGATGTGTGCTGATTTACTGCGGCGCATTACTGCGCGACAGTCACCAACCACTGGAAACCACCCAAATCGCACGCAACAGACTCCTAAAACCCTGAATTCCCCATGATGCTACATCCCAAACACCCTAACTCTTTTGGCCACCTTTTTAGTAAACTTGGTGAGCCCAAGCCTTCTGGAGTCCATTTAGCCGCTCTTTCACTAACCCCTTTTGAAACCTTACAGTATAGAGCCCTACAAAACAAACCGTTGTCAAACCCACTAAAGACTCTTTCGAAATCCTACAGAACGTTTTCCCTAAACCCTGAACTCCAAGTCCTACTAAACCCTAGGAGCAAAGACCCCTAAACATTGAGCCTCAAAGCCAACTTGAACCTTTCAGAACAGCCCTAGACCCTAAACACTAAACCCTAAACCCTAAACCCTATTCAGAACAGCCCCTCGTTGTGCAGTCCTTGGCCAGCAATGCATCGGCTCAGGCCCGGCCGCGGCCTTTATTCGGGCTCTGTCTCTGTAGCTTGCAGCTTATAAGAGGTTGGGGTTTAGGGCTTAGCGACTTGAAGGGGTTTATAGAGCTTACAGGGTGTCGGGTTTGACATTTAGGATTTGGGAGTTTTCCAAGACTTCTGTAGATAGTGCGATTACCGTACAGATTTGGAGGCTATATACGTCAGATGAAGCTCGAAACGACTTCAGTTCCTTACGGAAGGGTTTTCACACATGCCTGACGTAGATGCAGTTAAGCTTGCGGATGACGGTCTAGCTGATATATAAGGACCTGAAGAGCCAGTTTAGAGTGTAGGGTTTAGTGATGTTCTTCCATGTTGTTCAGGAATAAATTCAGCATTTAGCAGTGTTTCGCAACCTTACAATTCCTATTCTGTTTATTTCGGCCACTACAACTACACAAGTGGCATGATGACATAACCACAATAGGCTTTTTAGGGCTCTTACAGAACCGTCCATAGCCCACTCAAAACCCTTCACAAACTCCCACGAAATCTGTTCGTCACCAGGGCGGAGCAGGCTTTGGAAAATCGCATCAGGTTCAAGGGGGTTCAATGCAGAGCACGGGCCCGGTCCGGGGATCAGGGTTTAGGGTTTAGGGTTTAGGGTTTAGGGTTTAGGGTTTAGGGTTTAGGGTTTAGGTTTAGAACTTAGGGTTCGGTCAGGACATACAGGGTTTCTGTTTAAGGACAAGGGTTGAGGGCTCAGGGTCTAGGGGTTTAGGTTTCTTGAGGTTTTTTCAGCACAGGCCTCACAGACCCGAAGGTCGGGATCGCTACTTTTCACAGGATCGCCCCTATAGAGTCCCCGAAACCTCATGCTTAAGGGTTCAGGGTTTAGGGTTTAGGGTTCAGGGTTTAGGGTTTGTGGCCCATGAACCCTAAACACTGGACTTAGTATGGCCCCGAAGCCCTCAACGATCATGTCGTACTCCACGCTGAAGTTTCTCAAGCCCTGACTGAACCCGACAGCCTCAACCGCAGAAATCCGGTAGAGACGTTGAGACAGCTCATCTCCACTGCCTTAGCAAGGGCTACAAACACTTGCTTCCTCCTTGCCCTATCTGCCCACTGCGTGACTTTTGGGCGTAGGAAATAACAAGCGCCAGCCAGCTGTCGCAGACATTGGGGCCGGCGCCGCCAATGATGACGCCACAGGCGCATAGCAATCTGCATGCTCTCCACCGGCTAGTTGCAAGAGAAGATTCCTTGAAGGGTTTGCGGCTTGGGGTGAGTAGGGTCGAGCGGTTCTATTTAACGGGTCCGGGCATCGAAGCTGAATTGGGTTTGGGGTTTAGGATTCAAGACCTTGACTTTCGGGCATTCTGGATTCGGTTTTCCCTGCAACCCAATGACTTAGTTCTCTAACACCCAACCTTTAAACTTTTTGGGTTCTTATAACTTAGTAGTCATCTGAAAGTTTAACAGTTTAACCTTCTATTTCCCTGGCTTTTTGGGGAAGAATGAGCGGACCTTGGGTTTCGAGCTCAGCAGCATCGGCTTCGGAAGCCAGATCGGCTCTGCAGGTGTCGCGTGCCTCTGAAGGCATCCCTTTGGAACCGCCAGCTTCTCAGAACACCTCGTGGACCTAAACCCTAAACCCTAAACCCTACACCGGACCTGTTCGATTTTTTCGAAGCTTCGGTTCCCTAAGCCCGAGTTAAAACCAAAACCCGGCCCTGAACCCTGAATCCGAAAGCCTAAGCTCTGAACCCGAGACCCAGCCCTAAACCCGGAATCCGAAAGCCTAAACCCTGAACCCGAAGCCCAGCCCTTAGCCCTGAATCCGAAAGCCTAAACCCCAAAGGCTACGTAGGCTCTGAACCCAGAAGCTGAAGCTCGGGGGTTGGGGGGGGCGGGGGGTTTGGTGTAATCCAGGGGGTTTAGGGTTTAGGGTTATTTAGGGCTTAGGGTTTAGGGGTTTAGTATAGGGGTTTAGGGTTTAGGTCTTAGGGTTTAGGGTTATTTAGGCTTTTGGGTTTAGGGGTTTAGGGGTTTAGGGTTTAGGTCTTAGGGTTTAGGGTTATTTAAGCTTTATGGTTGAGGGGTTTAGGGTTTAGGGTTTAGGGTTATTTACCCATACTATCCCTTCAGCTTCCTGATCGAAAAAACTGTATTATCATGTTCCCCCAAACTCTGCTCCAAGTACTAAGGCTGTTACTAAACCCTAACCCTATATCAGAGGCTTCTGGAAACTAGGGAGATCTCCATCCTTCAAGCACCGGAGGTCCACCCAAAACCTTGTTACTGAAGGATGCTATAATACTTTCTTCGGGCTATGATGATTATGATTTTCTCTCCGGTTTTCGGGCTGCTGAATATGGTTTATGCAGTACTTCATCGCATGTCCTGAAGAACTTGGCTTTTTGGGCTATAGCGGCTACAGGTCAGCCGCGAGTGTCGGAAGTTCGGAGTCGTGCGTCTCGACTTGTATTTGCAGCCTCGCGGCTGACTTTCGTGGGTTTTGTTAAAAAGAATAACTATGATGTGGGCTACCAGTTTTTTACTATAGATCCGCATTCTGATATTTAACAACGACCCTCCTAAACAACAGCCCATTTTTCTTGTAGCTTGACCCTGAGGTTGGCGACGGATGCCCTGCCGAAGGACCGCCGATGCACACGAGCGTAGTTTTTTTTTTTTTTAACGTTTGTAGCGTCGAAGTCTAAGCCCGAATCATCGAAGCGGCACCGTGTTGCGTAATGTGGGGACCACGACTTCAAGAAGAAGCTGCAGATTGGAAGCTACCCAGATGGCGAAGAGGGCTCGCACGTCGGCGCAGACGTGGGCCATGCTAATGGCCAGACGAAGACCGAGTCCGTTTTTTGGAGAACCTCTTGATTGAAGATAATATAGAGGCCATACGAATTAGAATAGGGTTTTGGGGCCCATTATATTGTAATTATAGTAAGGAACCCCTAAAATAGTATAGGTAATCATTTAGGCCCCTACATTATTCGGGGTTGTCCTGAGGCCCTGAGATGGTTCAAAGCGCTCAGCCCTGAAACCTGAAGATGCAGATAGATCCCTACACCCTAAACCCTGAACCCTGAACCCTACACCCTGAACCCTGAACCCTAAACCCTGAGCCCTGAACCCTAGACCCTGAGCCCTGAACCCTAAACCCTAAACCCTGAACCGTAAACCCTAAACCCAAACCCTCAAGACCCGATCTCCAAACTCGTGACCTTAAGCAAGCCTCCAAAGAAAGTTGGGGGGGAGCTTCACGTCTCCTTGGCAAATTACTCCGATTCGCATGACTGCATGTAATGTGGGTCTCTTCATGGGGTCAAGCTACCAAGTGACGAAGAACTATGCTTCGGGGAAAAACTGGATGAAGGGAAACAGCAATATCTTAGGGCTCCGAGATATTCTGATGTCATAAGACACACCAAAACCAAAACCGTTTTCTCATTCTTAATGCCCTCCTACACCCAAGCCTCGTTCATGTCTGTTTGAGCCCTTAAAAAGGCCGTTGTTCGAAACCCTATTAAACTCATCAATCTTGAGGCGCCTATATTCCGCAATCTCAGAAGAGGAAACGGGTCTTTGCCCAGCTCGGTCAGATCACATCCCTAAACCCTAAACCCTAAATCACGAGTTTTCCGCTTAAGGCTGTAATTAGGGTCTTCCGAGATATCTATTCGAATTTCAGGGTTTTATGAGGGGGCTGTAGGGTTGATTGGGTTTTCTATGGTTTTTGGATATCTACCCAACGAGATGAGGTTAACGACTGCTTTTGAAGTTCTCAGGGTTTTTGATTGAAGAACCCTAAACCCTGAACCCTGAACCCTAAACCCTAAACCCTAAACCCTAAACCCTAAACCCTAAACCCTAAACCCTAAACCCATGATAGACTTCCTGGCTTCGTTGTTAGCATGTTGTGTGACCTGCAGCTTTGCTCCGAAGCCGATTATACCTTACAAATCCTATGATCCCTCGGGTTCCCTTTATAAACCCTAAACCCTAAACCCTAAACCCTGAACCCTGAACCCTAAACCCTAAACCCCTAAACCCTAAACCCTCTAGCCCTTCAGGCCCCTGTAGCGGCTTACTTACAGCCTTCACCTTCCTTCGGCCCTGAATTCGCTCGCCTTCTCCGTAAAGCACTCGACAGCCAGATCCGGAAGGGCTACACGGAGATGGTACAAAAACCGGGCTGGACCCCGTGATAAACCTCCTAAAAATCCATACAGGACCCCGTTGTATAACCCCCAACCCTGTACCCTTATCTGGAACCCTAAACCCTAAACCCTAAACCCTAAACCCAAAACCCTAATAAACCCATATAAAAGGCCCCCTTTTACAACAGCTCACAGACTTGCTGGAGCCATGCCTAAACCCTAAACACTAAACCCTAAACCCTAAACCCTAAACCCTATAAACCCTAAACCCTAAACCGAGCCATGTTCCGCGCATCGCTGGCTGCGCTGTTGTCGACTCTCAGCTCCGCGGCGGTGGCAAAGCGAGAAGCAGCCTCTGGGCTGCAAGGGATTTAGGGTTTAGGGTTTAGGGTTCAGGGTTTAGGGTTTAGGGCTGCAAGGGATTTCGGATTTATGGCTTAGGGCCCTACCTACCTATCTATCATACATTTCAATCAGTCTGTCTGTCTAGCTCTCTATCTATCTGTCTATTTATCTATTTATCTATCTCTCTCTCTCTATCTGTCTATCTATCTTTCTTTCTGTCTGCATACATACATGCATGCATGCATACATACATCATATATACATATATACATATATACATGTACATGTCACACTTTGAATACAAAAGATGAATAAATAAGAGCAATACGGGTTCATATGGGTTTGGGGTTTAGTGGGTTTGGGGGTTCAGCGGTTAGGGTAGAGGGGGATGTGGGCCTCGAGAGTTTAGGGCGTGTTTGTTGGGGTGTGGCATTCTCTCAAGGGGCCCTTGGGGTTATTTTGGGGCTTTATGAGACCATAGAAGGGGTAGGTAAGGGTTATATAGGATATTAGGCTTAGGCGTCTCGTCTAGGGGTCCCTCCTATAGTCCCTTAATTCTCAAGAAGCATGGGTTCCGAAGCCTCTGTGCACTCGGAGTGGCTTGAGGCAGTCGCGCTATGTCGAGCGCGCAACTTCTGAGGTGGTTCGGTCTGGTGGACGATCGGAAAAGGACGCTAATGTAGTGGCTTTGACAATGAGAACAGGGTTTTAGGGCTCCTTTATAGTTGAAATATATAATAAGGAACCTTAAGGAATAATATTGGTAGTCTTAGAGCTTCTATACTACTCGTTTGCAGTACTAGAGTGGCAGGGCCACAAAGGAGGCCAGAACAAGAGGGCTGTCTTGCGCACCCGAAACCCAAACACCCTGAACCCTAAATCCCAGTTGCTTGGACAAAACCCAACAAGATTTATGACTTAGCCACCCTGAGTTCTGAGACACCACAAACAAGTGTATTTTCACGCTATGTAAACCGTAGCAAAGGATCTAAATCGAGCAAGGTCGGCTGGGCTTATGTCGCCGACCCTGTCACCAAGCGCCCTGACTGAGTGCAGGGGTTTGCTTAGGTTTCTGGTCAAAATTCGCACGAAAGGTGTTGCATGCTGTGAAGAAATCTTTGAACCAGACAGAGAGACAGCGAGACAGAGAGACAGGCGGACAAACCGACGGAGAGAGAGAGAGAGAGACAGAGAGAGAAACAGAAAGAGAGAGAGAGAGAGGGAGAGAGAAACAGAGAGAGAGAGAGAGAAACAAAGAGAGAGCGAGAGAGAGACAGAGAGACAGCGAGACGGAGAGACAGAGACAGAGAGAACGAGAGACAGAGAGCCAGAGAGACAGGCGGACAAACCGAGGGAGAGAGAGAGAGAGAGATCCATGTGAATAGTCTACTATACATGTCCACCCGGACAGACAGACTGGATCGAGGCCTGAAGACTCTGCAAGTTGGCAGGACATCGCCTTCGAGGCGACATTCGGCTTAGTTGTTCTTAGTCTGCTTCGCTCCTAATCGAACAAAGGCGCGAGCCTGGGCAAACCAAAGCATGTGAACAGCCTTGGTTTAGGGTCAGGGTTTAGGAAAATCCCTTTAATCTCTAATCTCTGTCCTAGGTATCAGCCTTGCTAGCACCCAAGAGGATAGTCGAACCCTATGCGACCTGGAAGAACCTTAGATCACAGATTGGTGCATGTTGCGGATGAGGAATGAGGGCTCCGAGTCCACCGACCTCTCCGATCCTGATCCGAAAATACACCCTAAACCCTAAAAGCCCTAAAAACACCAACAACCCTAAACACCCGAAAACCCTAAAAACCCTAAACACCCGAAAAACCCTAAAAAACACCCTAAAAACCTTAAAAACCCTAGAAACCTTAAAAACCCTAAACCCTAAACCCTCCAAAAACGAATCCGCCACGCACATCCCCGCCAACCTGGAAGCCCTCCCCTGCCCTCGACGATGAGGCCACCCCGCAACGAAGCACGATAATATAAGGGGCCTACATAACTACCTATACTATTTTGGGGGGTTCCTTATTTTAACTAGTATAATCTATCCCAAAACATTGTTCTAATAATAAAGGCCCCCCCCCCCCATATTAGACCCTAAATCCAAAACCCCAAAACCCTATTCTAATTGTTAAGGCCCCCCATCTTAGACCCTCTAAACCCAAAACCCTATTCTAATTATTAAGGCCCCCGTATGAGACCCTAAACCTTAAACCTCAAAATCCTATTACAAATATTATTAAGGCCTCCCATATTAGACCCTAAACGCTAAACCCCAAAACCCTATTCGAATTATTAAGGCCCCCAGTTTAGACCCTAAGCTCAAAACCTCAAAACCCTATTCTAATCATTAAGGCCCCCCATATTAGACCCTAAACCCTAAACCCCAAGACCCTGTTCGAATTATTAAGGCCCCTAGTTTAGACCCTAAACCCCAAACCCCAAACCCTGTTCTAAATATTAAGGCCCCCTTATTAGACCCTAAGCCCTAAACCCCAAAACCCTATTCGAATTATTAAGGCCCCAGTTTTAGACCCTAAACCCCAAACCCCAAAACCCTATTCTAATTGTTAAGATCCCCCATATTAGACCCTATAAACCCAAAACCAAAACCCTACTCAAATTATTAAGGCCCCCATATTAGACCCTAAATCTTAAACCCAAAACCCTATTCTAACTATTAAGGCCCCTACATTACGCAACCCTGAGCTGTCCCCTGGTGAGGCGCTGGACATCCTGGTGGTGGGGCCTGTGGGGCTGCAACATTGATGCTCGGCTTCATTTCAGGGGTTCAGGGGTTTAGGGGTTTGGGGTTTGGGGTTCTAGGGGTTCAGGGTTTTAGGGCTTTAGGGGTTCAGGGTTTTAGGGGTTTAGGGGTTCGGGGTTTAGGGGTTTAGGGGTTTAGGGGTTTAGGGGTCTACGGTTTTAAGGGTTTACGGTTTAGGGATTTAGGGTTTAGAGGTTTGTTTATTGGCAATCTGCCCGAAGCCCAAACCCCAGTCGAGCGAAGACCTGGACCCTAAACCTTACAATCGTGGAGCAGAGATCAGCAGGGAGCAACAGAAGCCCTGAACCCTAAAACCCGAAACCCTAAAATTCTAAACCCTAAACCCTAAAATTCAAAACCCTAAACCCTAAAATTCTAAACCCTAAACCCTAAAATTTCTAAACCCCAAACCTTTAAATCGTTAAAGCACATAAAGGCTGATGAACTGTCGGGCTGAGGTAACAACACCCCGGCGATAGCGAAAGCCTTTCCCTGGCGTCCGCGCTTTCGCTGCCAGGATGGGGGCTTAGGGTTTAGGGCTTTTAGGGCTTCTAGGGTTTAGGGTTTAGGCTTCTAGGGCTTAGGACTTTTAGGGTTTAGGGCTTTTAGGGCTTTTAGGGTTTAGGTTTTGAGGGTGTAGGGCTTTGGGGTTTCGGAAGGTTTCTGTAGGTGCCTTATGGGGTCTCTATAAGGGGTTCTATACGGGTTCTATGAGGTTTTTATAAGGGCTTCTATAAGGGCTCCGTAAGGGTTTAGAGTTTAGTATTTTTAGGGTTTAGCGGCTAGGGTTTTAGGATTTGGGGCTTCGGGGTTTCGGGTTGAGTTGGGACGTCCAGGGTTTGCGAGTTTAGGCAGTTCGGGTTTCCGGGGGCTTGGAGTTGTGTGTGTTTGCTGTTTTTGGGCGTAATAGAGGGGCTTCAATAACTACCTGTACTCTTTTGGAGGTTACTTATTATTATAATATAGTTATTGCACAATCTATCCCAAAACCCTAAAATTCTCAAGGCCCTATGAGACAGAGGATGAGTGGCCCTTAGGAAATTCCGAATTCTCACATTGCAAGGGTTTAGGGTTTGACGAGTTTAAGGCTTTGGGTTTAGGGTTTTCATCCCTGTCAGTTGCGGGTTCCTTACTGGAGAGATGCTTCATTTTGTTTCCATTCTTGGAGTTCAATACCCTCGATTATAAGGTCGAGGTTGTTCATTTCCTGTTCGGGCTTGAAATGTGGGACTTTCCGAGAATAGGGGGTACCTTAGTTTGGGGTCCTTATAATAAGGATCCTACTATTTAGGGTACTATATTAGGGTCCCCTATTTTCGGAAACCCCCATGTGTCTGTAGAGTCCAACATCAATGGTTCCTTGCAGGGGGTCCCCATCACTAATCTTCGTTTTTCCTCACGCCAGGGAGTTCTGGAGCCTCCGGGAAGGAGCTAGTGATCCATATCCTTCCAGTACATCCCTAAACCCTAAACCCTAAACCCTACACCCTAAACCCTAAACCTTAAACCCATAATGTTGCCCGTAGTACGGGTTCACAGAGATTGTCGTGTTTACGTGCTTGGGTGAGCTTTGCATGCGTCGAACTGACCTCCGCCATGAGTCAAAGCCCTGGCTCTGTCAAAAGTCGGTTTCAGGGTTGTTTTAGGATTCCGGATTAAGGTTTAGGGTTTAGGGTTTAGGGCTTAGTTGGACTAGAGTTGGCCCACGCTGATGACTCCTGAATCCCACAATCCTGTTCAAGCAGAAGTCGAGGGTGCAGAGCTTCTTGCTTCTCCCGAAACTGCACCTGGTGCCCTAAAACTCCGTGGATGTGGCAACAGCAGCAGGAGCCCTACCGGCGCGGTAGCTTTGGCGTCGCAGTGCCTCCGCTTGCACTAGCCATGCGTTCCGGGATAGGAGTATCATGTACAGAATCTTATCAGGGTTCCATAAGGAGTATCCTAAACCCTAAACCCTAAACCCTAAACCCTAAACCCTAAACCCTAAACCCTAAACCCTAAACCCTAAACCCTAAACCCTAAACCCTAAACTCTAACTTATGAGTACACTTTCTGAAGGCATAACTTGTCTAAAGTATATGAACCGCCGAGCCCTGTTCTAATACTTGCAGACTCCGGGTTCACTGTTGAGGGTTCCCTGGGTCCGCTGCAACACGAACATGAAGGGGGGCCGAACGGAGTAAAGGGGCTCGAAGTTCGAAGGAACTCATGCTTATGGTATAAGGTTTCGGGATTTTTTGCTTTCGGGTTCGACCCTCTCCTTCAAATGAAACACGCAGTTTGAGAGCAGCATGTCTTCCTTTGCTTCCTGCTCACCTTCACAATAATAGGACCCTGAACCTGTGCTTATGCTTCTTGTGCGGGGCGGCGAAAGTGCCTAATCGAAGACGGCGCAGAATCCTGACTAATTGTACCTACCACACTAAGACCCCCCCAAGCACGATAAAACCCTGGTAAACCCTTTAGAATCCTGTTAAACCCCATAAACCAAGCTTCTAAAACCAAACGAATTTCAGCTTTTGCAAGCTTTTTTAGACCCATGAGCCCAATGCGCAGCCCCTATCCCTAAAATTCCAGGATGCCTTTCGACCTCGCTTCGACGCTCTGCTAGCCGTGGCGCGGCAGCGGTGGCTCCGCAGCAAGTTCAGGGTTTAGGGTTTAGGGTTTAGGGTTTAGGGTTTGGGGTTGGGGGTTTAGGGTTCAGGGTTCAGGGTTCAGGGTTCAGGGGTTTGGGTTTAGGGTTTCGGGTTTAGGCTTTGTAGTGTCACGGAATTCGGGTCCATAGTCGAAAGCAGAGTTTAGGATTTTGGGACTTGGTGTCCAGGATGAGGTGCAGGACTTTGGTTTTCAATTCCGATCTAGAATGGATATGGGGGTTTCCGAAAATTAGGGGTCCTTACAATAGGGATCCTATTATTTAGGGTACTATATTAGGGTCCCCTATTTTCGGAAACTCCCATATGGGGTTACGCAGATGTCTTGCCTCTAGAGGGGTACTCTTTATGCATCCAGGGCTCCTTGTTGCAAGCCACAGTGCTGCTAAAATATCAAGGCCCCCCCAAAGCACTTGTTATCAATGCCTAAACCCTGAACCCTAAACCCTAAACCCTAAACCCCAAACCCTGAACCCTGAACCCTAAACCCCCAACCCCAAACCCTACACCCTAAACCCTACACCCTAAACCCTACACCCTAAACCCCAAACCCCAAACCCCAAACCCCACCCTAAACCCTGAACCCTAAAGCCTAAACCCTGAACCTTAAACCCTGAACCCCGAACCCTGAACCCTAAACCCTAAACCCTAAACCCCAAACCCCAAACCCCACACCCCAAACCCCAAACCCTGAACCCCTTTGTCACTCCCGGAAAAGAGCCAGAAGTTGAAGAATCGCTAGGAACGTCCAGGAGCTGAGATTACGGGTTTCGGGCTCAAGGGGTTTAGGGAGGATCGAAGGTCTAAGGCTTCAGGGGCTTACGGGGTTTAGGGGTTTTAGGGGTTTGGGGGTTTTGGTTTTAGGGGTTAGGGGTTTTGGGTTTAGGGGTTTGGGGGTTTGAAAAAGGGGTTTGGGTTTAGTCGAAGAGCCTAGAAGGATTGAGGCTTAAGGGGCTTAGGGTTTAGGGTCTAGGAGCGTTAGCTCGAAGCCCTTCTAGAATTCACTGGAGTGGTGGGGTATTACACCGGGTTTGGGATTTAGGGTTTAGCGTTTAGGGGCCCTGTTACCATGCGATGCACGGTCTTTAGGTTCATGTGTTGCGCCTTAAATCAGAACCACCCTAAACCCTAAACCCTAAACCCTAAACCCTAAACCCTAAACCCTTGACTTTGTATGGGGCCTTGGCTTGTAAAGGAACCCAAACCTCCAGATCATGGCGGCGCAGTGGTATGCGAGCACCTTGCCTGGAAACTGTGGTGATGAGTGAGACATTGCACTCCATAAAAATTGGGCCTTTCTCTTCTTCCAATAGCTGGCAGTTATAGGATTCGCGGCTTCAAACACAGCAGGGTTCGATGCTCCTTCTGCTCATCAGCACAGAGAACCCTGAACCTTCAACACTTAGGGTTGTTGAAGCCTCTAAACGATTGAAGCCCGATGCCGTAAAAACCGTAGACTGTCGAGACCCAAAGCCTAAGGAAGCCCTTAGACCGTGAACCACGAACCTCTAACCACCGCGAGACCTCAAGCCCGAGAATGTCCGCCTTGCAGCTCTTTAGGGTTTAGGGTTTAGGGTTTAGGGTTTAGGGTTTAGGGTTTAGGGTTTAGGGTTCAAGACCAAACAACGCTTTAAATCTTTTCATGGGAGACGGTCCAAAACCTTTCCAACAAACTGTGCAAAGCCTTATATCACACGATCTAAAACCTTTATGAACAAAGCCTCCCGACAAAGCCTTTACCAAACCCCAAGCCCTCAAGACCTGAAAACCTAAACCCTAAACCCTTAAACCCTTGACCCCTAGACCCCTAAACCCCTAAACCCCTAAACCCCTAAACCCCTCAACCCTATACCCTAAACCCTAAACCCCTAACCCCTAAATCCCTAAATCCCCCTAAACCCCTCTAAACCCCTAAACCCCAAGCTGCGAAGGTCACCTGATGGAGCCCTTTGGGGACTGGGGAGGGTCCCTGCAAACCCTCGGTGACTCCGAGGTGCTCGGGGCTTTTTTGGGGCAGGTTAGGGTTTTGGGGCTTTAGGGCTTTGGGGCTTTAGGGCTTTTAGGGGTTTAGGTGTATTTAGGGGGTTTTGGGATTCTGGGTGTATTTAGGGGGTTTTGGGGCTTTAGGGCTTTCGGGTTTTGGGTGTATTTAGGGGGTTTTGGGGCTTTAGGGCTTTTAGGGTTTTGGGTTCATTTAGTGGGTTTTGGGGCTTTAGGGCTTTTAGGGTTTAGGGTGCTTTTGGGGGGTTTTGGGGCTTTAGGGTTTCGGGTTTGTGCAGGGTTTTAGGGTTTCTGTCTTTGGGTTTAGTGTTTAGGCCTTCAGCAGGGGATTAAGTTTTAGGACTTAGGGTTAGGAGGCAGTAACAATATGAGATATCTATACCACAAAACTCCTTATTACAGTTATGGAATACTATACTCCGCAACCCAATTCTAATTATGAAGGCTTCTGCATTACGACTTCGGGGTTCGGGTTTTCAGGTTTTTGGACTTACTTACGCCATAGGGTTCATACTTCTAGGGTTTAGGATTCTGGGTTTAGGGTAGCGTTCAGGGTTTTGGGATTTTGGTTTCAGGGTTTAGTGTTTTTGGGGTTTGAGGCTTAGGACTTAAAGGGCTCAGGGCTTAAAAGGCTTCAAGTTTAGAGTTTTGGCCGTTGTTTTCGGGCCCTTTGGGTTCGTTTGGGTCCTTCCGGAGACCGTCCGTGGGTGGTTGGGTTTGTTGAGGGTGCAAACCAAGAACCTAAATTCGTTCTCTTGGTTTAATCAGATCCAGCCGTATATTTAGGATGCTACAAGCCAATAACTGGCGAAACAAAGGAACTACAATGGAGACTATAGGTAGACCTTAAATTGTAGTTCCTTTTTCTTGGTTGCCTTGCGCTCTTATCTACTAAACCAACCCGAATCATAAACCCCTAAACCCTAAACCCATAGATTAGATATCCCAGGAAAGGTATCACAGTTTGTTCCGGTGCAGGTGGGGTATGTCGAACTTACGTCTCGCAGCCGGCGGACCTTGCACGTAGTGCGTTCGGAGAGCTGCGCGAAAAGCAAAGGAAACTATAGGTGGGGAGTTTAGGGTATATAGGGCTTCTATAAGGCTTCTATAACCCTAAACCCTAAACCCTAAATGTCCAGAAGATTCTGCGTGATCAGTTGGTGTTCTCGTCGACATTGCGGGTATTTGGGCAGTATGTGGCTCTCCGGTGAGATGCAGCGCGCAGAGATGGGACGGCAGCTGTAAACCCTATAGACCCCTAAACCCTAAACCCCTATAAACCCTAAACCCCAAAGCTCTAAACCCAACAGACCCCTAAACCCTAAACCCCTGCTTCGAAGGGAACGCACGCCGGCGCCAGGCCGAGTCCCACTCCAACCAGGCCAACGAGCGCCCGAAGGCGCTCGTTGGAAAGCTCAAGGAGCAGATGGTTTAGGGTTTAGGGTTTAGGGTTTAGGGTTTAGGGAGTTCCAGGCGGAGGTGGGCTCCATGGCGTCCGAGGCGGGCACAGCATTCCACCCGGGTCTCTTGATCTTGGATCCCAGTCAGGTAGAGCACTGGGAGCGCCAAGCCGAGGGGGGAAGCGGTGCTGAGGCGAGAGCGACACACAGACGGAAGGGGGGGGGGTCGGTGACTTGTTCCCCATCTATGTTTAGGGTTTAGGGTTTAGCCCAAGTAGGTGCTCAGTACAAGAGTCACAGCAGCGTCGAAGCCTCTTTTTTTAAATTCCGTGAGGCCCAACATCGCAAGTTGGAGCATCTCTACTTCATCTGAACGAAATACCAAAGCCCGTTGCCTACACTGTAGACCCTAAATCCTAAGGCCCAAAGCCAAGCCGTGCCTGTAGTTGACTGGTGCTCCCCCGATGGAAATCCCAGTCCCAATGTCTATCCGAAACCTTGGAAGGAGCAGCTGGATGGCTTCTTGGCGGCTGGGGTGGTGAGGGGTTCAATTAGGTTTCATAAGACGTAGGTTATAAGGTGCTGTCATGGCTATATAGGAGTATAGGGGTTTAGGGTTTCAGGTTTGTAGGGGTTTCAATTTTAAGGGTCCGCGGGTCGATGATCTGCTAGTTTCTGGGGTATACCCTTTCAATACGGAGTCGCAATCCTGAGTTGTAGGGCATGTGGCTACAGCTATACTTGAGCTAAGCACTGCAAAGCTCCATCGCAGCAGGGGGCTTTCACGTGTTTCTTTCAATGTGATTTGCTATCCGAGGCTACACCAAAGATGTGAATGCATCTTGGCAATGTTGGCGTGCGTTGGAAGCGCTTGGCGTTTTTTGTTGAGATGCGAATAAGATCCGATTTGCGGAAGCTTGAGTTAAGTAATTGTTGAGGTGATGCATACGAGACCCGGGAAGCGAAGTATTAGAACCCTGATTCTCAAACCCCCAGCCAGAAATCATGAGGAGTTTTGCGAGCGGCAGTGCTTGGCACTTCAAGTGGCATGCCTGTCACGTAGAAAGATGGGTTTATGGGTTGAAGTATAGTAAACCCTAAACCCTAAACCCCAAGCCCAGGCCTTCCTTTTCGAGCAGAACATGACGGGCTACGTCCTCGACTACGAGGGGACGAACGTGGTGCACTGGCGGCTTGGCTGGGATACTACTGTTGATTCGGGTTTAGGGTTTAGGGTTTAGGGTGATACTGTTGATGCAATAAATCGTGCATTACCTTAAGGACCCTAAACTCTAGACTATGGGAATTATGGTGTCTTCCTTGTTATGGGTGATGCAGGGTTTATATCATCAACCGTATGACGGCCACAGTTTAGGCTGCAGGGTTTAGGGCCGCTTCAAAGTTTGGTGTGCGAAGTTTGGGGTTGAGGGTTAAGGGTATCGTTCTGGGTTTCAGAGTTGAGTGTATGCAGTTTGCAGGTGGTATGTGTCTGGCTTCAAGCGCGGCACGGAGGGTTTTGCAGCTTCTGTTTTCATCTTCGTCTTTGCGGATGGAATGTCGGGATCTAGAGTCCAGGAAATTTAGGCCTTTAGGCTGTAGAGTTTAATTTACGCTGCTTGGGGGGTTTTGTCGTGGGCCTCGGGATCTTCTTAACAGCCGGTTTAGGGTGTAGGGTTTAGGGTTTAGGTTTTGGGTTTAGGGTTTAATGTTTAGGGTTTAGGGTTTATTTGGGGGACAGTTTGCATCTCCTTGCCGCAGGTGTTTGGTAAGCTACGTGGACTGGTTAACATTTTGCCCCAGACCCATCTGAGCGTCTCGATCTGGTCTCTCTCGTCTGTCTGTCTCTCTCTCTCTGTCTCTCGACTTTATCACTCTCTCGCTCTGTGTTTCTCCCTCCATCTCCAGTCTAGTTGCACTCTCTTCCCTTTTCTCAGTCTATAAATGTTTTCTCGGTCTCTCTCTCGGTGATTTGTCTTCCTCTCTGTTTCACTCTCACTCTCTCTCACTTTCTCTCTATCTCTCCACCAGGGTTTCAAGTTAGTTTCAAGTTAAGGTCTTTCAGGTTCCAGCTTAGGGCTCGAGTTCACACTCAGGGTTTCCGGTTTCAAGCCGATGGTCGTGGATTGTGAACCTCATCTGTCCCTGGCGGGCGCCCCCCTTTTCTCTGTTGAGCTTTGTCGGCATGCGTGTTTAGTCCGAAATCCCTTCTTTGGATTTTTCTACCGATGGATCCTTGTGTCCAGGATAGGTGCTAGAGCCTTCTTCCGAGATGCCCATCCGCCGTTGTTGTTTGAGGGCTGGGGTGTTCGTGGCTCTTGCCACCTAGACCCTAAAACCCAATCCCTAGATCCTAAACCCTAATCCCTAAACCCTATTCCTTAAACCCTAATCCCTAATCCCTAATCCCTAATCCCTAAACCCTAAACCCTAAACCCTGGCTCCGAGGTACAGTCGCCTTTTGGTGAAGCTCGCTGAAGCCTTCCGCGCCCCTGGCCTGCAAGTCTAGGCATAAATCCCCCAGAGCCCCTAGGCTGTACTATATAGTCCCTACATAATACAGCCTAATATAAATAATATCAAGGCCTGAAGAATTAGAACAGGGTTTGGAGGTATACTATACTATCATTATCATAAGGATCAACCCCCCCGGAACAAAAAAAAAAAGGTATTGGTAATTCTTGAGGCCCCTATGTTAATCCACCAAAAAACAGGATCAACAGGGAAGCGGTCTAAGCGAGCTCCATGGTCTGGACCGCACCTTGCTGTTGGTGGTTTACGTTAGCTTGAGGGCTGGCCTACCCTAAACCCTAAACCCTAAACCCAATAAACCCTACACCCTAAAAGCCCTAAGCCCTAAACCCTTACAGTAACCCTGGCATGTCCGGGATCGGGTTTCTCTTTCGCCTCCTACGAGGGTTAAGGACTTTGGGTTCAAGGGTTTAGGGTTTAGGGTTTAGGACTTTGGGTGAAGCGTTTAGGGTTTGAAACTCTTTGAGACTTAAACCCCAAACCCTAAACCCTAAGCTTAAACCTCTTATGAAGCCAACCGAAAGAAGAACGAGTGCAGGAGATTCCTCAATGTTCAGGGATCTTCCTGAGTTGTTCATGGGCAATTTAGACCCCTGATCAAGCAGACCTGTTTTCTGCGAGGGCCTTAAGTTCTTTACCATAGTCCTGCTTCAGGAAGGGGGTTTATCAATCAGGGGTCTCTACATGAAGGGTTTGGAGCCCAGAGGTTTTGATGTTTCCCTAAACCCTAAGCCCTAAACCCTGAGCCCTAAACCCTAGACCCGAAATCAATAGAACCCTTCAAAGCTGTAGCCTTTCGCCTCCAAGACGCCCCAGAGCTCCGAAACGCTGAACCCTGTATCTCTCGTATATGAGGGTTGCCGAATATAGTACTCTAAACAGTAGGATCCTTGTTATAAGGACCCCCAAATAAGGTACCCTAATTTTCGGAAACTCCCATGTGGCTTGCGGTTTGGAGGGTAGGGTGTCGGCGGAGCGCTGCTTGCTTAAAGCCTAGGATGCGGTGTGGCACTTA